ATTGAAATGTGCATTGCTAACAGCGGAGCTATCTCAGCCGAGAGGCTGCTTGTTTTAGCTATTATATATTATATTTTTTGTATATTGTGTACAAATGGTTCAAAAGGCTTAAAATAGGGAATTCTATTTTTACATCTACATATGTAAATATACTTATTTGCTATCAATATTAAAAAATTAGCAATATTGGGAACAGCGGGTTTACCAACAGTATTGACATTGCATTAAGGGAGCTTCTTAGCCCAACCTTCCTGCTTCAATTTTTTGTTCAAAAAATATTCACCAATGGACAATCAACCATGAGATGTATTAATGTTTCCTCCTCCCCCTGGCAAAATGTACATAGCTTGGTTTCACAAATTTCAGGTCTGATTTTGTGTAATCTAATGTTTGTAGTGAGAAGGTTATGATTAACCTTCCATCTATTTAAGGCCACACCGACTTAATTTTATGGATGACATCCGCGCGCGCATTAGTTTTCGCCTGTTCTCAAAAAAAAATAAAAAATCTCCGACGACGAGTCTCCACAGATCGGTTTTCTGTCCGGAACTTGCCGACTCATATTGTCACAAAAATATTGTCATAAAACTCGTTTTGGACTACCTCAAAAATGCCTATTTTGTTGTAAATGATTCCAACATGGCGACCACGCCACCAAAATACGTGAGCATGAACCACCAAAATACGTGAGCATGAAAGTTCAGAGGAAAACGGAGGGATTGTTGTAGACTGGTACGCAATTGACGTCAGCCAGGGAGATGTGACGTTTACACAGCTATACGAGAGATTGGTAGCGGCAAGCGAGTTTCGCCCAGACAACTTTAAGGACATATTGTCCAGAGTGGCTATCCCGCGTTTCTTCAACAATGAGAGAAATGGGAGAGAAGTGGAGGTGTATGGTGGCCTAAAAGTTGGTCAGGCGACAAGTCAGTTTGGTTGTTTTGTTAGCATTGAAGTCGACAAAACTGCAAAGAAAGCAGAGGAAGTTCCTCGGCCGAAGTCCGCTTTCGAGGTGAAGAAAATTTTCTTCTTATTTTTTTTTTTCATTTTCTGATTCGGATAATTTGCTTGCACACACAGTGCAATGTTCTGTTAGTTATTGTCATAAAGTAGTGATATGTAAATGTGTACATTCTGCCTTGACTTGTACTGAAAATGGTGTTCATGCTGTACCTTGAATGCAGTGTTTCTGACTGAAGGTACTACATCATGACTACATGTACTAGAGCTTGTCTGAAATGGTTATACCTGTGACAGTAATACAGTACGAGAGGTGTACATCAACATGTGCCTCCTACAAATAAAGACTTCTTGTTTGTTTTTTTGTACACTCTGTTCTGTGGTTCAATTCGTAATACCAGCTCCGTAGTCCTGTGGTTTTAGCAGCATTTTTTTTTTTTTGCAGGATTTTTTTTTCGCCCTCTCGCATTAGTCTCCAGAGAATGTCATCCATAAAATTAAATCAGTGTGGCCTAAATGGCAAACAATATATATATTTTACTATTCAAGTATTGTCTCATTTAAAAAATCAGCCAAAATACTTTCTGATTAGGGGGGATGAAGCCCTGAGCAATAATACCCGGAGTAACCTGCTTTGCAGTACATTGTTTTATATGGATATGACAGTCTGTGAATTTCACCCCTATCATCTGTTTCTCTTGATTTGTTATATCAAATTTTGACAAATCCACACCTTTTCTCAGCTCATTTGGAAGAGCTGAGATTATCCCATACCATTTCAAAAACAAGTGTTCAGGCAATTTGCTCAAGACTCCCTCTCTCCACTTTAAAAAGATGACATATTTAATGCAAATTTCAGAGATCTCCTGAAAATAAAAACTATTCCCAGTAATATGTGCTTGTTTTTTCATACTATCTGATTAAAAATATAATTTTTAGGGTTGTGATTTTTTACTGATTGCCAAGACTATAATAGAAGCCGTTCCAAATAAATCAAACTGTCTTTTTCAAAACATCCATCTGAGGTTCAGAGAGGTTCATCACATACAAAACTCTAGAGATTCCAAAGCTTAACTTTACCTAGTAGGGTCAAATTTCTCATTTTCCAGAAATTTAAAGCCCTATTAAAAGACTCCAGGGGGGGAGCTGCCATATTCATTTTGTCTGCCAGCTTCTGGTTATAAGCAATATAGATCCCAACAACTTTTATTAGTACAGTTGGCCATTTTACCTCAAGTGGTTTGTCTTTTCTGTTTCGCCACCTACCCAACCACAAAGCCTCACTTTTTTTCTTTATTAACCCCCAATCCTGAAATAATTTTAAAATGTTTTTTTTTTCAAATAACCTTTGGGCAGATGGCAGGTTCCTAACAAAGCATGTTAGATCGTCTGCATATGCTCCTCCTTTAATGTATCCTTGATTTGGCACTTCAAATCCTTTGATGTCTGGATCGGCTCGTAGTGAGCACATAAATATGTCTAGAGCCAAAATAAACAGCATTGGTGACACAGGCTCACCTTGCCTGACCCCCCCTCCCAATGGGAAGTATCCAGTGCTGGTCCCCTTGTTCATAACAGTAATTTTAACCCATTCCCTAAACGTTTGACCAAATTTAAATGTTTTCAGTATCTTGTGAATAAAGTGCCATTCTACTGTATCAAATGCTTTTTCTTTATCGATTGCAAGCAAAAAACCTGCTAAGTTTAGAAAATTAAACCCAGGAAAATAGCAAAAAAAACTGTAAAAATTTAGAACCAAAGAACATCTTAACCGACTTGACAGTCTTAAGTACAAACTACTGGAATAGACCTCCAGCCAACGATAATCACTACACACATCCCAACACCGGCCCTTCGCTCAAACCAATTTTCAAAATTTTCGACTTTTCATATCCCACAGTGAGCCCAAATATTCAAAAGATATAAAGTCTGAATTAATCATTCTGGCTGTCTTTTTAGTCATGTTCATGGTAATACATCTTCTGTATCAAGTTTATGTGGTTTTCCGTTAATGAACAACACTCCATTCTGAAAACGGTGCCTCTTCCCTTCATTCCACGCTTTTTCCATTAATGGTACCATTTTCCTCTTTGCTTGGTAATCCTCCTTACATAAATCTTCCTTCACGAAGATGTCAGTTCCCTTTAGTATATCCCTGGCCTTGATTAATACTATTCTTCTATCTGGTCTATATATAAAAGGTTCAGTAACATTGCTTCTAGAGGAGGTCAAAGGTTATGAGTGAAGTAATCGAAAGTTGGCCCCACAAACCCGGGTGAAATATTCTGTGAAAACCTCATAGAGGGTGCATGAATGTGTATATAGGAAGACATAAAGGTATAGAGACAACGCAGAGATGACCAAAGGAAGAAAACAGACAAAGAAAACGGGCACAGGTGCGTATGAAAGTGATACAAATGTACTGGTCTGGAATTTCCAGGGATTTTCGAATTAGAATACTGTATAAATTATGTTAATGAGGCTTTGGCTGGCTAACTGAAAGTGATCAGCCGACACTCTCTAGACTGGCGCAGTCGGGGCGATTAATTTGTTTTTGTAGTTTAAATAAAATTAAATAAATTGCGAAATGGAGGTGTATATATATTCGACTTACAATACAAAATTTGAAAAGAAGACGTCCAAGTAATAAAGAAAAAG